TTCTGTACTGGTGTACTTTCGCAGTATGTGTATGTGTATGTATATGTATATGTATATGTATATGTATATGTATATGTATATGTATATGTATATGTATATGTATACAGTCCGAACAGATGAATATCCCGGACATCGGAATCGTTGCAGAGGGTCTTATCAGGATATTGAAAAGGTTCAAGCTTCACTACAATAGGGTTCAGAAAGGAGGTTGGTTTTGGGATTCCGAAGCATTACTTGTAGCCTTACAGTGCATCTGATGTAGGATAGCACAGGAATGATGTTACTTTTCGCTACAGTTTTTAGTTTCACACCCCTGAGTCCTTCGACTCGGGACGCCCGGGGCTGTGGGCACACCTCCTCGCTGAGGTCCCAAGAGTCAGACCGAGTCAGACACCGTAGATCGCAATGCACTGTCAAGACGGCAAAGCCTCCCCTAGCCTTCTTGTAAACGGCAGCAAAGGATCCAAATCTTTGTAAATACAATTCCTTACTGTAGGGTTCCCCAATACACTTCGCTGTACTTGAAAAGACTCCCAAGCCCGATGCTAATTATTAAGACCTCTGCCAGAAGAACTGGTCGCATAGGACCTTGTTTTTCCCTCAACGCCTTTCCATTCAACGAGGTCTCGCTGTAGACTGTAGACAGCTACAGAAGCCTGAGCAAAGACCTTGTCAGCGAGAGTTCAGTCGCCACCTCAACCCTAAACCCTAAACCCCCATGAATCCCTTTCCTAGATCCCAATCCGACCCCTGTGCTGCCTGTCAACCACACGGCTCGGTTCGAGAAACGAACTCTCCAATGTACTTATGCGCGGATGATGTACATCAGGGTTTATGGTCATGAAGGAATTGTATCACAATCGTTAAGCATCGCCACTGGTCGACAAGGTACCCTCCTTCAATGTGATCAACGGCGGCAGTCATGCTGGAAATCGGCTAGCTTGCCAGGAGTTCATGATCCTCCCCACTGGTGGCTCGTCGCCATTGCTTGCTGCAAAAAATTGCCCAAAACTCCCAACCCCCAAGACCCAAATCCTATCCCAAATTGCAGCCACTAGCTTGGAGACCGCAAAATCTTCATGAAGCTCTGAGCTTTGGACCCCGCCGTTCCAGTCTGTACCTTCGCCAGGAATCAGCTACGCAGACTCTGCACCCTTACGGGCAGAGCCGGCGGCTGTAGTGCCTAGCTTTCATCCCGGCCTGGTCGCATAACTCCAGAAAACCAGGTGCAGTGTAATGAAGACTGTTCACATGTGTAGAGATACCATATGCCCTATAGGCCCCAAACCCTAAACTACATAGGATCGCAGCACGGAGAATTTAGGGACCATCCTCATCTGCACGCCGTCTTAGAGATATGCACAGAGGTGCCAGCTCCTTCAAGAATGCAATGGAGATTGGGGCAGAAGTCTACCACACCCTTAAGAGTGTGATCAAGAAGAAGTACGGCCAGGAGACGCTGCATGCTCTTCTTCCAGATCCTGTGCTTTTCAAGCTCTTGAGCACGTTACTGTACCACTGACTAAGGTCGGTCGGACTTGCAAACGCTGCAAACGGGGTTAGCCTTGAGGTAGTCGCTCAGGACTCGGAATCTGCCGCCACTGTAGCTTGTCGAACCCTGTGAGACTGAAATCCTAAACCCACCCAAACGCGAAGCACTGTCTCCTCAGGGACTTATGAGCTTCTGAAGCCTGTGGGCTCATGCCCCCAAGAGCGAAGTAGGGCAAGCTTGACGCGGGCCATAAGAGATTGCCCAGCACAGACCTCCCGACACCGTGATGCTAGGACCCGCGTATACCGGTTTCCTTCCCTGCATTAAGTATTCAAGATGCCCTGCAGACAATGTTCCAGGATGCATGCAATGTGGGTGACGAGGGCGTCGATGCCTTAGCTGTATACAACGGCAGCTGCCCGCGGTTAGGGTTTGGTGCAAAGTCAACATCCATCCCGAGCAGCGGAACTGCGAAGTTTCGAATGTATGTCGTAGGCTTGCAAGATGAGGCAAGTGGCATGGCACCTCTGGCCGGTACATCCATCTCGGATCCCTTCGACCCCCCCCGCCCCACATTCAAAAAAAAAAAGCATGCAAGCCCCAAAAGCCCCTTAAAACCGTCAAAAGCCCCAGCCCTGAAAAAGAGCCCCCTCCGACCTTCAGCCCCCCACTTTTTAGCGGCCCCTAGGGCTTCGCGCCCAACGTGCAAGACAACAATGAAGCCCTGAATGTCCTCATGGAGGTGTGCATTTCTGCAAAGGTTTGAGCTGACCACTGGGGCCCTCGGTCGTTGGAATAGGGTTTGGGGCTATGGTATGGTGTCGTGAAACAGGGATTCGAAGGAGTTTGTCTTACAAATTAAGCAGACCTTTGTATTCGGTTCGGGACTCTGGGCTTTAGAGGGCTTGTGGCATAAGCATCGCCGCTTATGGCATGAATGTGGGTTTGCTTGGGAATGGAGGTTCTGGTGCTGAAGTTTACGGCGTAGGATAATTAGGCCTCAGGGCTCTGGTCTTGGCTTCAGTGTCTCGAGGTTTCAAGTGCCGAAGCGTCAAGTTTAGGGTTAAGGGTTTTAGGGCTAAGTTTCAAAGCTAGCAGTTGTTGAAGTTGTGCCAGTAACGCAAGCATGCCTCGCTGTGTTGACTCCCGACCCCAATCCAACCCTCTTGACACCGACTCCCACATTGCAAACACCAAGAATCGAAGTCCTAATGTCTAGGAAACTTTCAGGTGGGTAGTTACCGTTAAACGGAGCCTTATAAAGGTCCATATACCTTATAGAAGCCTTATAAACGCCCTATATACCCAAACTCCCCACCTGTAGCTTCCTTTAATAATGCACCAAAATCCTAGTCTCCTACAACACCGTCAGCCTGACACCCCGGTAGCCTAACACTTTCCGAAGCTCTGATCCATGGGAGGCAATCGAGAAGTCCGGCCATGCTGGGAAAGTGAAGATCGGAACGGACGTTGCTGCTTCCGAGTTTTGGAGGCACGAGACAAAAAGGGATTGGGGTCTGCACGGGATTTTTTCGGTGCTTTGGGGGTGTTGGCGGGTTGCTGGATTCGGGGCTTGGTGAATTCTAGGCTTTGGTGGTTGGTTGCAAGTGTAAGCTTTTCCGGTTTATTGTGTCGGGATCTGCCATGTTTCGGGCTAGGGACCGAGGTATCGCTTTGGGGTGTTGGCTTTCTGGGCATGCATATAAGATCTTTTGTTAGGGCTATATGCACAGTGTGGTGGACATCAGCCGTGGTATCCGGAGTTTGTGTTTTTTTCGTTGAGCCTGGGTGGGGGCATATCTCCACATGGACCCGAGGCCTTGCGTTAATTCATATAGAAGCTCCGAAACCTTATAAGCCCTTGCCCAAGGGCCCGGGCTTCTATACCCATTGTTTCAGGTCGAGTGGTGCCAAGTCAGGTTCCGGGGGACATTGGAAACTGCAAAAAGTTCTCAAAACTGAGCCTTTCTGGGTCCCGAGGCTGCTTAGGAATGAGTGGTGTTCTGATCATGTCGGGCAGTATCATTCGAAAGGCCTATCTACTGTGCAAGATCCCTAGAACGTGATGTGCCTCCACGGTGTAGTGATGTAGCATCTACGGCCCAAGGTTTCGTGGCTTGGCATAGCAGCTGATGGACGGGTCGGTTTCATTCCTAGATCTTGGCTGGCCTTGTTGGTCACAACTCTGTCTCCGCATGTCGGCTACCTAGCTTGAAGCCGTTGGATTCATCCAAGGTTCCACGCCGCAGCCCTCACATCCAAACTCCGCCCAAATGCACCGGAAACTGAGAGGTCAGAGGAGAAGAAGTACGACCTGGACTTCAAAAACGAATCTGGCGGTGCACCGGAGATGAAGAAGACTGCTGAGGACCTGCTGCAGAAGCGCCAGGCTGTTTCAACTATACTTTGGAGAGAGTGTCAGTTCCCAGATGCCAACATCCTGGCCCGGAAGCTCCCTGAATCTCTGTCTGACGATAGAACGATAAATACTGGATGCCATGTTCGACACGGTGGCTGCCCCGGAAGAGGGAGATATTGACAGCTGTCCTTCAACGGGGGGGGGGTCCACCGTTTAGGGTCACTCTGAAAGCCGAAGGAAAGCAAATACCCTAACCCCCAGGTACCTACTATATAGGGTGCTAGAGCCCCCAGGGCCCTATATACTAGGTACCCGGAGGGTTAGGGATAACTCTCGAATGTCGCACCTCTCCGCACTTTTCAGGAGATGATCGAGTACTACAAGGCCACAGCACCAGGAGTTGAACCTGGGAGCTGCTCTATCTAGTACTAGGCTTTAGGGTCTAGGGTTTAGGGTTAGTTTAGGGTTTAGGGTGAGGATCTTTTCCCTTCTTCTCATATTTTTTGTAGGCCATAGGCGATTTAGTCGTTGGGCTGGGCACTTGCTGTGTAAGGTCAGGTTTGTTGCGTTCCACCTTCCACGTGCAGTGGTCGTTTTTGCGACTTCGATGTGCGAAGTTTCTACTTCCGTAGAAATTGCCGAGATAGGGGCCTAGCAGCTACCGGGGTTCCTGATAATATCATCTTTCCATCGAAACCGTGGTTGCTTTACGTCATTTCGAAAGCAGTGTGCATACCCAGGAAATCCTGCCAAGGCTCCTCCTAAACCCTCAATCTTATAAAGCCTAAATCCTCTAGACTCTAAACTCGACAGCTCTTATCCTGTCTTTTGTTCTCCATCCTCTGGATACCTAAACAATGTAAGGAAGGTTCCTAGTTTAGCCCAAAGCCGTTGCAACCTGGACGTAGAAACCCTAAACCGGCAAGACCAGAAAGTGCGTAGAATCCCGCTTACCCAGAGACCAAAGCCTTCAATCCACAATCACCAGACCCTGAAAAGGTGCGTCGGCTTAGGGTTTAGGGTTTAGTGTTTGCACAGGCATGGTTTTCGTCCTATCCCTTCGTGTCGATCGAGGAGGGCGGTCTGTGCTGAGTGGAATGTGAGTGCAGATGTGCATTATGGGGACTGGGGTACCGGAGTTAGATGTGGCGTTGGTACTGTTTGTCGCGCCTCGAAATCAGGGTTAGGTGGCATTGTGATTTCAGCAAGATTAGAAACAGCATGCAAACCCCATTCCTTAAGCCCCTAAATTGAAGCTTTTCATCAGATTTGCAAGTTCCAAGCATCGAGGACCCCTTCGATCAAGACGATTGGGAAGCCTACGCAAAGTTGCTCAGCTTCGATGCCTTGCAATGCGATATGCGATAACAAGAAAGCAAACGAATGAAGGCTCAGACAGTCATGGCGGATCATTGAAATGACCTGATACAAGAAATGTCGTGTTCTCCTCGTCAGCAGTTGCAGCAGCGGTAGCAACAGAAGCGTGGTGGCAGCAGCAGCAGCAGCTGAATCCCTGAGGCTTAAATAATCAATCCTTTGATCTGACCGGCTTCCTGCGCGGCTTCGGGTTGACTGGGTTAGGATTTCATTTGTTTTTCGCAGCCTAGTGTTCCGGGTCAACGGCTATAAGGGTTCTGGAAGGAGGTTTTTTGTCACCAAAGGTTCAACGCGGCAGTTGGTGACCAAGTGCAGATCGTCGGCGACGACCTGCTCGCCACTCGACTTGTCACCATCTATTACAAGGGGTTGTTTCCCAGATTGCCCCGTACCCCAACGCCTGAACCCCCTAAGCCCGAAGCCCGAAACCGCTAGCTTCAGCTTCGAAAGTTCAACTTGAAAATTCTTGCCTTTGCGGCTCAGAGGAGCATGAGGGAAGGATTGTCGCGGTCTCGATTTCAGGCTTCTAAGGTGATATTTATATCTGTATGTATGTATGTATGTATGTATGTATGTATGTATGTATGTATGTATGTATATATATATATAGAATAACAATAATACTAATAGTAATAATAATAACAACAACAATAATAACAATATTAAAAATATTAAAAATAATAATAATAATATACAATATAAAAATAACAAAAAATAATAATAAGAAAAAAAAATAATAATGTGTGTGTGTGTGTATGTATATACCACGAAACAAAGGGAACCCGAACTGTTTTCGAGTCTGCACGGCGTTTCGATTTCAGCTTTAGCCAGAAACTGAGGGAGGGAAGCCTGAGGGTTCTATTTTTCGACTTCTTTCACAGAGTCTGAGGGAGTTTAGGGTTCAGGGGATTTAGGGGTTTAGGGTTTAGGGGCTGGCATGTCGATTGCCGTGGAAGTTGGATTGCTCAGTGGCAAAACAGCTACTGTTACAGCAGGTCTGGATGAACCAGTGCACACGTTGCGTCGACG